AAAAAAAAAAAATCTGAATTCTGAGACTTCACGATGACTGAAAAGTTTGGTCATAGGCCTCTGAACCACCCTTCCCATCTCCCAAGGACCAAACCACTCATCAAGTGGGCAGAGATGGAGGCTGCAGCTCCAAGCCTCTAGGGATGAAGGAAGGAAACTCAGGCCTTCTTTCTAGTTTGCATCTAGAACAAGGAGGGAACAGGGAATAGGCCTCAGGCCCTGAGGCAACATGGGAAGGAGTGGGTCCCAGGCACAGAGCTGGTGGATATACAGGATGTAGAATGAGAATACATGGCTGGATTCAGGAGGAACAGGGGTGGAGGGCCAATTTCTGGTAGCCATTTTCCTTCCCATCCCAGAGCCCCCATTCCAAGATTTATAAAAACTAGCATCACTTGGTATGCCTCAAAAAGTTCCCAGTTTAATCACCTCACTAAAGTCCTACAACAATCCATTTTACTAATTCAGAAACTGAAAAATCTGCTCAAAGATGTTAAGTAACTGGCTCTAGACTACACGGTTAATCAGTGGAAGACCCAGGGTTTAAAATAAAGACTAACTCCAAAGTGTAACTCCAAATTTGTTTTTTTCTATGTGATGCTGTTGAAGTAGTGCTATCATTTCCCATTTGGGGGCTGAGAAGCCTGAGGCTCACAGAGGTAAAGACACTCGCTCAAGATTTCACAGCTATGGCCAGGTGACTGGCTCACTGTAATCCTAGCACTCTGGAGGCCGAGATGGGTGGATTGCCTGAGCTCAGGAGTTTGAGATGGGCCTGAGCCAGAGTGAGACCCTGTCTCTAAAAATAGCTGGGCATTGTGGTGGGCACCTGTAGTCCCAGCTACCTGGGAGGCTGAGGCAAGAGGATCAGTTGAGCTCGAGAGTTTGAGGTTGATGCGAGCTATGATGCCACAGCACTCTACTGAGGGTGACAAAGTGAGATTCTGCCTCAAAAGAAAAAAGGAAAAGATTTCACAGCTATCTTAGTCTCAAATTCTAGCTTAGATTCTCAACCCCACTAATCCTACCCTCACCACCAGAAGCCTCTGTGTCTCCTCTGCCTGGTGTCCCTTCCCAACCCCAATCTCCTCTCAGCTCAGGCCAAAGAATAGTAATTGTCTGTGTCTGAATGACACCTTGATGCCTGTGTAGGGAGCAAAGGACTGCTCAGCCCTGAGGTTCTGCTGTCCCAGATCAGGACGCCAAGAAATGTGTGCATGGGGGGGAGTGGACTGTTGTTGGGAAGGAAGGGACTAGATGTGACACCCCAGGGATGTAGCATGATGGGCTTAGAGGTCAGATAGGCCTGAGCCCCAATCCTGCCTTTTTCATTCCCAACTGTGTGAGCCTGGGAAAGTAATTCCTTTAGCTTTTCTGAGCTTCACTTTTCCTCTCTGTAAAATGTCCTCACTGTAACATGGGCTCATCATGTCCATCTCAAGATAGGGAGGATAAAGGAAAGCTCAGTCAGCAGCTGTGTTCTGCCTCGTTCTTCTCTTTTCTGATTTCTGGCAACAAGAAGAACAATAATATTTCACCCAACAGCAACTTACATTCCACAAAGCAAGGGTAGAGGTCATTCTATCTCAGCAAACCCAGTCCCTTTTTTAGGCTCTCCAAGAGTGGAAAACCGGTGGCTAGTCCCAAGCAGGCAACTGGTTTGGCTAGTAGAGACTGTGGTATTCCACCAGGGGGCACCAGGTTCAATCCTCGTTCCAAGGGTTTAGGCTCCCTTAGGGACCAATGCCTGGGGGACCTGTTCTGGCTGCCACCCACATTAGAACCCAGCCCCATCAGACAGATGGTGGATTTGGGGATTAGCTCAGGTGCCAGGCCATTTATAGTTCTGTGGCAGAGGTAAACTAGCTTGTCGGTGCCTAGGAAATAACAGGTATGCCACAAATGTCAACTGAACCTACAGCTTTCATTTTTCTCCTTTGCAAATATCAGATTCCTCTTCTGGGTCCTCTCGGGGATGTGGTGAAAATCAAGGAGGAAGTGGTAGTAGATGTGCTTCCTACACTGCATGGCCATGTCCAGAACAGAGCGATGGTTCTAACTCATCTCCATGTGTCCAGTGCCTGCCACAGAGCCCGGCTTAAAGAAGGCACCAACTGATACTCATCTGCACATGTGCTAATGGAGATGACAATGGTCCCTCTCCCTCTTCTCAGCTCCATGCCCTCTGGGACAGGGAGGATGGCCTTTGACAGTGTTGGGGATGGAGTCAGTGTTGGGGACTGATCATGAGACTGGGAGAGGAAGACACAGAAACGCCAGGGTCAAAGATAGGTAAATGAGGGCCCCTCACAGATGTGACCACAAGGGCAGGAGTTTGACTGGCACCATCTCTCCCATCACCCTCTACCAGCTGTCTAATCTCAAACCCTGCTACTTTCGATTACTAAGCAATCAGCAGTTATTTGTGGCACATCCATCCTGAGCCTCATACCAGGCAGCCCCTTGGGGGCTAAGTGGGAAGACATGAAGAAGGAAGGGCTCTGCAAGGGGGTCAGGGCCCAGGAAGGAGCCGGGGTATGGCCTTGGGAAGTGAAGACCCTAAAGAAAGGGGGAGGAATAAGTATCCAGCAGCCATTCCTCACCCTGAGCTTTTATTTCATTTTTTTTACTTTATTTATTTTATTTATTTTATGATTTTCTTTTTTGAGACAAGGTCTTCTATCACCCAGGCTAGAGTGCAGTGGTGCAGGGGTCACTAGTCAGATCTCTCCCTCACAACCCTCAGAAGAAACCAACTCTTCAGACACCTTGACTTCAGAATTCTGGCCTCCAGAACTGTCAGTTAAACCACTCAGGTTATGGGGCAGGGGGGCGCAGTGGCTCACGTCTGTAATCCTAGCACTCTGGAAGGCTGAGATGGGTAGACTGCTTGAGCTCAGGAGTTCAAGACTGGCCTGACCCTGTCTCTACTAAAAATAGAAAAATTAACTGGGCATCATGGTGGATGCCTATAGTCCCAGCTACTCAGAAGGCCGAAACAAGAGGATGGCTCAAGCCCAAGAGTTTGAGGTTGCTGTGAGCTACAATGATGCCATAGCACTCTACCCAGGGTAACAGAATGAGACTCTGTCTCAAAAAAAAAAAAAAAAAAAAAAAAAAAAAACATTCAGTTTGTGGTACTCAGTCATGGTAGCCCTAGCAGACTAACACAGCAATGCAACCATCACCTGGTTCTCTTGGAATACTCAACTCTGGAGGAGCCGGCTACCATGTTAAGTTCAATTACCCCAAGAACATTATGCTGAAGAGACCACATGTAGATACTACAGTCAACAGTCAGCACCACTCGCCAGGCATGGGAGTGAGGCTTTCTGGGTATCAGCCCCGTGGAGCCTTCAGAGGGCTGCAGCCCTGGCCAACCTCCAATGGTAACTGCACATGAGACTCCCAGGAAGAACTGCCCAGATGGGCCCTTCCCAGCCCTGACCCACAAAATAACTAGTAGAATACAATGGCTATTCAAAGCTGCTAATTTTTAGAGTAACTTGTTATATAACATAGTAAGCAAAACACCTGCCCTTTCTCTCCCATCCCTTTCTTGTCACTGGAGAGAACACAGATGTGATGGAGGGCCATCTCCAATCCTGTAGATGAGGGCAAGGCAAAGCCACAAAATATGAGCCTGGGCCCTTGGATGACCTGATGGAGCACAGCTGCCAACTCCCCAGATCCCACTCACATTTTATGTAAGAGAGAATAAAGTACACTTCCATCTTGTTTAAGCCACTGTTAATTCTACCTCTGTTTTTTTTTTTTTCATTACTTCTTGCCGGTTTGTTCCTTCCCCGGGCTTCCCGTTCCCCCCTTCCTCCTTTTTTTTTAAAAAAAAAATCTAAATCAACATCCCCACAATATGATATGTATAAAACACATAGGCCAGTGTCTAACATATAAATAAATGTTTTTCTTAAAGGTTGCAATTCAGTAAGATGGTGGAGGGTGGTTGCTAGAGGAAAGGGCAGCCTGCACACTCCCGTTGCTCCTCTACTCAGGAAATGGGGACAATAATGGCCAGCCTTCCCACCAGCACGCACTACCCATCTTGCCCCTCAAAGAGCTCTTCCTGCACAGCCCCATCTTGGATCCCACTCCACCTCCAGCCACTATTGCTCAGGACGCTAGCAAAATCATTCCTGGGAGAAACTGCCCTGAGCTGGGGTCTTGGTGCCTGGCCCTTTGCTCCAACTGCCCCAACAGTCTTCAGCTTTGCAAGGTGGGGGTGGCAGTGTAGTCTCCATCACAGTCTAGGCTCCATCACAGCCTAGACTGTCTTAGGCTGCCTAGAACACTTCCTTCCACCTCCCCATCCTCGGGGGACTCTTCTTGCTCCACCTGCCCCTTTCAAGAACTCCCTCAGACCCACAGCTAGCGGTCCTTCCAAAGAGGCCTCTGGTCTGGGCGCTGTCCAGGCCCAGACGGTAGCTCCTAACAGCTAGCAGAAGAGGGAAGCCCCACCGCTCCCCCAGGCTTGTCCTGAGACGCCTTTGGTCTGAGTTTCAGTCTTCTCTTCTCTAGCCTTAGCACCTCCACCCTCCACTCCCACCAGATGCCACCTCTATGAAGGAGAAAGGAAATGCCAAGACACACTCCGTTTCTGTGAAATTTGCTCTTTATTTTGGGACCAGGGAAGGACCACACACAGTCCTCCAAAGCAGGAGGCCAGGCCAGAGAAATGAGCGGAGGGGCTCACCCTCAACCCTCCCCAGTCGCAGAGGAGTTGGGAGGGGAATCCAGGTTCCGCGATCAGAAGCCAATATGCAAATAAGGTCGTTCAGTTAGCATAACTCCCAGGAGGCCTTGGGGGTCATCACCACCTGTCGGCGCCCTCTGACCTGCTAGAGAGAAAAGAAAGGAACTAGATCTGGGGATGCGAGACTGGGAGAAGTCGTAAGTGATAGTGCCAGGGTGGGGCTTCCGAGGGGCTGCTGGACCAGACCGGGCTCCAGGTGGCAGGGTGTGTGGCGAGGCAGGTGCTTTTATCGCTACCTGACCAGGCGGTCTTCGCCGTCGGGAAGGAGCAGTTTGGAAAGGAGAGCTTCCGGGCTGTCACGTTTCCCATACCTAGGGGCGGGGCCACAAAGAGGTTGGTCATTTCTAGTCACGCCCTTAGGCGGAGTCGGAAGAACAGCACGAACTTTACAGGCTCTGGGGGCCCCCCGCCCCACGCATGCGCTCACCGCTGCCGGGTGACCAAGTTGAGGTAGTGGCGCAGGGAGGTGTAATAGCGGTTCAGCTCCTCAGGGGAGGCATCTTCGCCCGGAGCCTCGGGTTTGATGGGATAGGCGTCGACCAGCATCCCCAGGCAAGCGAGCAGAGCCAGGAGCACTGTGGCCATAGCAGGCCACGACCTACGCACCGTCACCATCTGAGAAAGGAACATTGCAGTGCAGATCATGCTGAGCCTCGACCCTCAGAGGCTGGAGGCTGTGGCTGCCGTCGCGCCCACGCTCCAGCAGCCTATCTGGAGCTGGTGTTGGGACCAAGGCTCAGCCACCAACTTGCTGTGTGTTCTCAGACACCGTGCCAACTGTGGCCTCAATTTCCTCATCTTTCAGAGGGCCACAGCCCTGCTTACTGCCCTACCTTCATCCCCTCCCCCGCTGCTGCCCAGAGGGGTAGATGGAGGAAGAGGGCTATGCTGGCAACGGGGCTTCCAAGCCTCTCCTTCCCATCTCTACTGGCGTCCTTAAAATCCAACAGCCCTTCCAGCCTCCAGGACAGCTTCCTAACACTCAACCCCAGCTTTCACTACCCAAACCTCAGTTTCCCCACAAAACAGCCCTGGTTCCCCAGTACCGTACCATTTGCAAGCCCCCAGCCACTCACAGCAATAGCTCCAGAAGCGAGATGAGCAGAAGGTGAAGACAAAGGGGAGTCCCAAGGGCTGCACTGCTGCAGGTCGGGCTGGGGCCTCCCGCTCAGAGCTTACCCTGTGCTTATATCCCTCCTGGAAAGGGAGGGGGAGTCCCTAGGGGAGGGGGAGCCAGCAAGGGGAGGGCCCTTCCTCCTCCCTCCCTCCACCCCCATCAGATCACTAAGCTTACACCCAGCCAGTGCGTGCGTGATGTCTGGTGGTGGCTAAGGGGGCAGCTGCCATGTTCAGATTCCGGTCCCACTGACTGGGGCGCCTAGACTGAAATCCATGTTCACCCCCCACCGTGCCCCAGTGGCAAGTCTAGCCTCCTGAGGAAGTGAAACCTTTGGATCTTGACTCCTGGGACAGCATCTAGGACCAGGGTTGAGATTCTATTTGCCTAGCCTGTCCATGAGTGGGAGTGGAGAGTAGAGGGAGGAAATGTTTCCTCCAACCTGTTGGACCTGTGGCCACTCTTTCCAAAAGGCAGCCCTTTCGGCCTCTGTGTTATAATACCTCAGAGAAGGGCTGAGGAATGGCAAGACCTATGGGGGAAAGTCTTTCTACTAGAGGCAGGGATGGGAGCATATGACCTTGACTCCTGGCCTTCAGTTTATGGTGTCCTTGGGTCGGTCTTCTCTGGACATTCATTATGTCCTCTGTCCACTAGAGGGTTGGGGAAAAAGTCAGGAGGAGACAGAAGCCAGTGCCCTTCCCAGAAGCAGCTGAATCAGCCTCTGGTTCGTGTATCCTGGCACATACAGACCCGGTGCAGCCA